TCCAACGTCAAGTAGCCAAGATGGGAAAACTAGGCAAAAAAATGCAGGATCACATCCATACTACCACAAAAGTAGGAGAACTCACACGTGTGAGCAGTTAAGTCGGTACTTTTTCTCACCCCTGCCATTTAGCATGACGTTTGTACATAGGGCGCAGACGCCAGGATCAATTCGCCTCAGCGGGATGCCAGTAGGTGCAAAATACTAAGCAGCAAGCGATAAGACAGAAGAAGCGAAGGCTTCATGCAACGGGTAACCAACTTACACTAATATGAGCAGCCATTTTATCGGTACAAACTTCAGCAAAATCTCGCGCGACAAGTCCATAATAAACGCCATAAAAGAGAATCAGCCCTCCAACAGGAATAGCAAAACTTGGGTCGACGAGAGTGGGAATGAACAAAGAGAAGAGCACGAGAAAGTATCCACCTACTGATCCAGCATAAGATATTTTGTGGACAAGCAGGAACCACCAATATACTCGCCTTAAAATATTAGTCGAACCGGGTAAGTCGGAATTGCGTTTAATTAGCGAAAAAGGAAGACATGAATTACCTCGGAGTGGACGCCGAAATACATGAACACGAACTTAAATAAACCATGACGGCAGTGACCAGTGAAAAAAAAAACCACACCGTCATGAATCGGAGGTAGAGCATGTAAGAACTGTAGCACATAGGAACAATCCACATCCCAAGAAGTGTGAGCAGATGATAAGATTTGGGACGATATTGCTTCCAGGCCATCAGGGCGAATTGGGCACCAAAAGTGAAGAAAACGAGAATTAAAAACATCTCTAAGTGCATAGTTTCATGACCCTTGTGCTCCTCGTGAATTTTTATGTGTTTCAGTCTTGCGGCTTCTTCCATAGAAACATTATTTAGACCGTGCGGCTAAATGAGGAATTCCTTGGACATGCATCGGAAGCTTACACTGTTATTTACGAATAGTGCATTGTCCTGATCTTCCATTTCAGGTGTCTATATTACCCTATAGCATTTACCACACGAAGAATGCAACCTACCTCCCAAATTAACCAATAACTACCAAGTTATCATGACCTAAGGTTTTGATATGATAATGATGATTCGAAAGCCTAAATTAATTTGAATTCGAATATTAAGTAAGCTGAGCTAAATTAAGACAAAAGAAGGAGACTTAGTGATTCAAAAAATGAGTAAATAAAGAGGCAACCGAGTTGTGTTAGGGTCCTCTTAGGTGCGAATGCATTGTGCGTATTGACAGTACAATAATAGCTAGCAAATAACCCGGTCCCTGTAGCGTCCCGAGGCTTCCAATGAGGTAGTAGAAGGCATAAGTGGGGTTGAATACATGTAT